TTAGCATCCTGTAAGCTTGGAGGAAGGGCAAAAGCCTTCTGCTTTGTTTTGCTGTCTGAATTTGGTAGTAAATAAGTCCAAAGCGAACTGTCCTAATAGAGAGGTGCGCAACGTACTATTAAGTCTTTCTGACTGATGTTTGCAAAACCATGTCCATGTGGGCTTTCAACACTTCTAGAGTGCATTTAAGAGGGATAGTGAGTATGTTCATCCACTGTTAAACTTGTCCCATGGAGTTTCAGTGGAGGTGACTTCAGTGTAGCTAAAGGGAAGAATTTAGCAGTAGGGTTGAAAAGAAGAGTGCTGATCAGCAGGAGGTCCCTACGCAACCAGTGCTATTTGGAAAATGGAAAGCTGTAGATAGAAGCTGAGTTCATCATTTCATGGCCTCTAAATATAAATAAGTGGAGAGATTATATCCAAGAATTACTGCTATAGTAGAACAGCCTGTGAAAGAGATTGTTGATGTTACAAAATGTACTTTGTCTCAGATACAGTCTTTGGTAGTGAGAAGTGAAGTTCTTTCCCAGTTTCACATTTATATTCTTCAGTGAGCTCTGAAGCCAGCAGATTTGGTTTCAATTACCCGTCTAGAAGTATAGAACTTTCTGTCACTTAAAAAACAAACAAATGTGTTAGAGTTAAGGGGGGAGTTTAAAGAAAAGATGTAAGAAATCTTTCTTTGACCACTGCATCTTAAGCATCCTTTGCTTCTCGGGTAGAGTGCTGCTCTTAGCCTCTGCTAAGACTCTTGGGGTGAACAGACCAAGCACAAGCAAGCTTGTAGCCCACTGGAAAATGCTGTTTCTCCACGTTGCTGTGACCCATGTCTTATGTACATTAACACAGTACTGTTGCTCATCTCCTGGGGATACAGTCATGTTGTTCCTAGCACCTTGTGATACATCACGTTCCTGCTCCCTGGTTCCTGATGTGCTCTCACAGTGCTGTCCCTCCCTCCTTTCCTGTGGCCAGGTGGAAGTGTAGCCATCTCAGAAGTCAATCCTTCATCCTGCAGGCTCTGTCTGCAATCAGGAGTACTCTCATTTTGCAACCACTGCCCTGCACCACTTGACTACTATGGCTGAAGTAGTGCAGCAGCCCCTCCACCACACCAAGGTCTTGCTGCAGCTCTGTCAGAGCAGAGGTGGAAATAAACACAGTGGTTCAGAAATAAATGACACGCAGTTTGTAGCAAGCATTTCTCCTGCTGCTGCATCCTCTAATACATGGAGCTCATGCCTCGTATCTAAGCAACCCCCATCACTTGATTTGTGATTGACAGACCATCTCTCCTGCTACCATGTCTGGGTGTTGATACTCACAGTTCTCCACTTATTTGGCCAACTGTTTGCAGAGTATCGATGGTTTGAAAAAGCAAGAGCAGCCTCACCTTTCTTATGCATAACCTCCCTCCTTCCCTTGACCTTGGCCAGGGTTGCAGAGCAGACTTGTGTGACATGGTTGTCCCATCAATAGCGAGCTGCGGGATGTTCCTGGGGCACAGCACCCTGCTGAAGCCGTGCTTCTCCATCGGCAGTAGCTGCAGCCAGGGTTCAGGCACACTTCTAGGCAGGGTGAGTTTCAGAACAAATACGCAGTAGGATGGCAGGTGATAAATCATCCGCAACAAAAACAAAGCGTGAACCAAGCGGTCCCAGAAGCTATATGGAGGCAATGCATCTGTCATCAGCCTGCAGGTTACAGCCCAGGTGTTAACAGGGCAGTATATTTATTACCTCATTATTATTTGCAGTAAGTCAATCCAGCCTTTAATTAATGCCCTCCTCTCATCCCCCAGCCATTGGCCACAATGGTTTCTTGGAGCATATGTTTATAAAACTACATACTGTGCTCAGAAGAGAAATTCATAAGTGTCTGTATGAAGCCCGCCTGGCATCCTAACTACTACTGTGAAAGTCCGTGGTGTACATGGCTGATGGTCTTGAGACTTGCCAGAATACCACCTTGTCACGTGCCTGATAGTTGTGACCACTGAATTCCTCTTTAACATTGTGTGTGTGTGTATAGCCATATATCCTACTGCCTTTCCACTCCTTTAGTGGCAGCTCTCATTTAAGACGTTTCTGTCTACTGTTCGGTTCCCTCTCTACAGGAAAGTAGCTGCGTGCCCTCTCATGAGATTTGGCTGATACGATGGAATTGCTCTGAACTGAAATGATGCAGTTTTAAAAAATACCTCCCACCTCCCTGGGGGAAAAAAAAAAAGATTCTCCATTTATGTCTGCTCTTTGGTGAAGAGATAAATTGCTGTTTAACTCTGTAATCGTTCAGCTATGATGATGCTGAGGAGACCTCTGTAATGTCATCTAAATCCAAGGGTAGTGACCTTCTCACAGTGCTCCCGCATGAAGAAAAAGAATGTGCCGATTTATACTGAGTGTGCTGGTAAACTGAAACCCGAATACTAGTTATTTGGATGCTTCTATTCTCATTGGTTCTAGTGCACTTTTGTGTCAAAAATTCAAAATTTGGAACAGTGATTTATGATTTCCTAAATTCAATTTTAAGGTATTATCTCAGTTTCCTAGAGGGCATAAGAGAAAATCTGAAATGGAAAGTACCTTTAAATGCACATTCCTCCAAACCACTTCATTTCTGTAGAAACGCAGGAAAATATATCTGGATCAGGACTTGTATTAATATGGCAAAATTTCGTCCAGAAAAATTAGACTTTGGAATTTAAAAATTCAGAACATCAAGGATTATTTGAGAAAGCTCTCATGACTGCGTGATGAAGGCAAAACTTTAGTAAAAACAGAGTCTGGAAGAATGCTCCATCGTAGCAGGGCTGTTATTGTCATCATCAGCACTGAACACCTGGCAGGGCATCGGCGGTTGGGGGAGCTGAGTGGGAGAAGCCGAGGGCCCCTTCGCCCCATCTGTGCCCCTCTGGTGGGGCAAATGTCCCCCTGAGCTCAGGGCGGTCCTCAGCTGGTACCGCTTGGAGTATGCGCTTCCATGAGAGTCCACCGAGATCATTGGTGCCATGTGGCGACTGCAGCTGTATCTGCATGATATAATAACCCCTAACTCAGAGGACTGGAGATTGTTTTGGGGTTTTTTTTCCCCTTGCTTGTTGGTTTGTTTTAAATTAAATCTCTTAATTAAGAGCATTTTTAGTAATTTGTCTCAGCTTACTGAAACTATTTCCTTTTGCCTTCCTAAACAATCCTGTATCTAACAAGCCTTTCCAACCTTAGAGAATCGAATGTGTGCATTGCTGCTTTACTGGTAACAAGTCAGAGCACTTCCCTATATGACACAGGGCATGTTCAGTTTTTCCCAGACAATATCAGTCTGTCATTCTTGGAGAGGATACTGTAAGTATAATCCATCCAGAGACGACTCTTCCAGTTTCCGAAGTTTATTGCTGATGAGGATGCACATAGGATGTAAGCACTGGCAGGAGCCTCTGCTTCGGGGTACAGCGAGGCCAGCAGACAAGTAAGCAGCCAATTTTATCTGGCTGTTTGCTCTCCCTTTTATCAGAGCTGTTTGGCTGGGGTTCAGGGGTGTTAAAGGGAACTGCAGAGGCTTGGCTTGTGGAGTTGAGTGACAAGGTGTGAGAGGACATGAGACAAAACCTAAGAGCAGCAAATAGCTGCTTGTTGAGAGAGGCAGCTTCACATTTCATTGCAAAAGCTGAAGTGTTTTTTTGTTTGTTTGTTTGGGGGGCTTTTTGTTGGAGTTGTTTTTGGTTTTGTTTTTGTTTTTTAAACACTAAGGACGACTGTCTGAACTTTGCTAAAGAGATATAGGAAGGCATCATTCCAGTAGGGCTGGTCAAAACTAGCATCCGTTTGTAATAACCCCTGTAACCTCATTAATTTGCAGATGCTTTGCTGCCAGCGTGATCTAGCTTCAGCAGGCTGCTGCCACAGATAAAAAAAAAAGGAAAATCACCATGTTTTAATATGAGCAGCGGTTTATTTATGGCAGGTGCAGGAAGTTTCCAGTGGGTTGCAGTGGATTTTCAGTGTCAGAAGGGAAAAACTGTTTAGCAGCCAGGGCATTATGGCAATTTGAGACTTCTCACAGCCTGCTTTACTAGATTAAATGTTTAGTTATCTGCAACTTCCAGTGAAGTCCTTGACAGTATGTGGCACAGAGTACCCGCAGCCCGAAAGAACAGTCAAGTTGTGACATGTATTAGATGAATGTTCCTTGCATTGCTTATGTGTGGGAGTTGCGTGTTGCTTCTGGCTCTGTGAAAGCGGCAAAACACGTATCTACAGCATGCAGTGGGACATTTGGTGGAGGCAGGAGATAAATAAATTTCAGAATGAGTTGGGTGCATGAGATGGGGTGCAGAGCCATGCTGACAAGAGCTGTACAGAGATGTTGCAGCCACTGCTAGCTCAAGTGTCCATGCCCACCATGCTGTTGCACAGAGTTGGGCTGGAAGAGGACACATCCATTCACTTGTTGGATTTTGATGGTAGGTGAAAGCCAACCAACAGTCATTATAAGCCAAACAGCAATCTTGTATCAACCAGTCCTTGAAGACAGAGTTTATTCTGCCTTCTGTTAGCCCTTTCCAAATGATGTGAGAGCTCCTCTTCCCTGTCCTCTCATCTCAGGAGGACTACTGGCAAAAGGCAGCCCCTGCTGGGGTGGGGGTTAGTATTCAGGTGTTGCTGGCACAAATGTCCACTTTACCGCATTAGGATCAAGTTGACTTTGCCATCCTGTGACCCCATATTATAGAGGCAAAGAGCTTCTTTCATGTAGCCATATGAAGGTGAAGATAGCCTCAACTTCCTTCTCTTGGTCTGAAACGTTGTAATCTTCCTCTGGAAAAATTAGCTTTGGAACTTGCTTTTTGCAGTGGGGTAGTTGGTGGTACATCTGTCCAGGCTGCAGTTGTGATACAGGATGTGTTTAGTCATCCCGAGTCTTCTTCACTCTTCAAAGTGTCAGTTTCCAAATGTATTGACTCAACTGTGGTGTCTTTTCTTTTCTTTTATTCTGTGCAGTGTTTGAAAATAAAGATAAGATTGTGATCATCATGGAGTATGCAAGTAAAGGAGAATTGTATGATTACATCAGTGAGAGGCGGCGATTAAGCGAAAGAGAGACAAGACACTTCTTTCGACAAATAGTCTCTGCTGTACATTACTGCCACAAGGTGAGCAAAGGATTTGCTATTAAAAATGCTATTTGAAGGCTGATTAGTGACATATATTTCAAAGCATGTCTGAGGTAACAGCATTCATTATTAAGTATCACAGCATGTGATTATATCAGTGCAACAGGAGATCTTCATTAAAAGTGCTACAGTAGTTCACTGCCTGTTTTTAATGACTAAGGATCTTTTCCTGTGTTATGGTAGATACCAGCCACTCCCTTATATTAGCCCTACATTGCATTTTTGCCTTGGAAATAATTCTCCTGACATTAAAAAAAAAGAAAATTAACATTAGCTAGAAGAGGCATCCCATAGAACTTCTACAACATTAATATATTTAAACGAATGATAGTTTGCAATTTGAATATGCAAGTGAACAACTTTAGAATAGGAGATAAAATATATGAAAGAAAAAAGCCAAAAGAAAGGTATGAGTGTTCATGTATGAGCTTTAGCATGTACTCATTCTGGATAGGCAAAAGTAACTTTTCCAGCTGTAGCAGGAGCACTAGAAAGATACACTTTGCTAATGACTTTATCCATTGTGGTACCCACCAGAATGACAATTTAAGCAATTAAACCCAAGGTAGCTGACTGGCTGTCATCATGGACCTTTTGTGCCTGCTTATGAACCAACTGCATAGAGCCAAAACTTGCATGAGGCTAAAGGCAGTGAGCAGCTAACACTATTTTTTATTTGAATTCTTAAACACTTTAATCTCCACTTGAATTCTGATAAACAAGGGAGGTTTTCAAAGTCCTCACTGCGCAGCACTGAAAAGCGGCAGCACCCTTCCCTGTGCAGTCAGTTTTCCCCAAATTTCTTTAAAGAAGGCTCTGACCTAAACCCAGCTTGTTCACTTCCATCCCTAACATTTACAGTCTTTAAGGATTATAACTCTTCCGAAAAACGTGGCTGCACATTGCAGGAATGAGGTCTTTTGTAAGGACTAACGTCATTGACAGATATTGTTTTCTGGTGCCTGGGAAGAATATATTGCTTTCACGCAGTGGGGGCAGGATCCAGGCTGGAATTAAGTTCCGAAAAGACACCCCCCCCACAGCCCTCCATCCCCTCACCCCCCTGCTGTTTTAGAGGCTTTGTGGGAGGACAGATTCCAGTCATTCTTCCCTTAACCACATACCAAGTGACTAATACATCGCCTGTCACTAGTCACTGGGCTGTGAGTGTTATGACAGTGAAATCAGCCCTGAAATGTAGATGCAAAGACCACCCTGCCAGCTCACCTTTAATTTTCCCAATATTTTCTTATGTTGTCCCGCATTTTTTTCTTCCTTGTTTCAGAACGGTGTTGTCCACAGGGACCTAAAGTTGGAAAACATCCTTCTTGATGACAATTTTAATATTAAGGTAGGATTCTTTTTCTCAGCTTCTCAGAATGGATTTGCATGTTTTGTAAAATTTTTATCCAAGGTATTAGAAGAACCAGTGTTATGGCAACAGCTACTAAGCAACAGCATCTGGCAAGAGGCTCAGGAGTTTGGAGGTTGAGGAAAGAGCACCACTGGTGACGAGTCATACACGCTAAATGAAACTTTGCATAATCTGGGGGAGAAGACCCTGTCCTGCCACCCAAGGGCAACAATTCCCAAAGCAATATCTGTTTACCGGTAGGAAACAGCAAAGCATTTCGTGCAGTGGGGTTTATTGTACGAATGACATTATTGCTGGCTGCTGCTGGGGCTAGGAAAAAACTTCCTTAGTCTACAGGGTTCAAGTGCCTCCTACAGAACACTCTGAATGTCCTTTTGATCATGGCTGGAAAATAAGCAAATAGAGTTTCAAAATAAACCTAGTAAAGCACATGTGCTTCATTAGGAAATGGCCTTGGAACTCCAGACACAAACGTATACTTTAGATAGTGATGTCATTTCCATGTCATTTCTCCCCAGTGAAAGCATGGGAATGACCTTTTTTCCCTTCTTCTTCTTTTTTTCCTAATAGCTGTAGCACAAAGATAAATAATGCAGAGATGAGTGTAGTTCCCAGGTGGCTGAACCTGTTTCATTTTCAACTTTGTTCTTCCCTGGGTAGCTGGATGTGAGGTGGCTGGGTGCGCTCGTCTGTGGGCAAACAAATGGAGGGATGGACGCCGAAGAGTTTCTGCTGATGCTTGGGCATCCTTGCTTAATTAGCAAAGTAATCGAGAAGCTCCCTGTGTAGCCAAATATCTAAATAGCCTGGATCTTTATTTTGTCTCCACTGAAAGCCACACGGCTGCACGCACTGCCTTCTGCGCTTCGTGCTGGAGAGATTGTCTTCATTTTAAGCTGATGTGCAATGGAAATGGAAAGTAACATATGGTAGCTGCCATCTGTGTAACGCTGATGACAGAAACTAACTTGGATCAACTAGTGGATTAAAGGCACATAAATATGTGGTTTCTAAAAATAGTCTTTTACAGAAGGCCCATCCAATGCAATACTTGGACGTTTTGCTGTTAACATCCAGTGTTAGAGCAAACCTCCCCACTCCTGTTCCTACAGGGACACTGGCTGCAGCAGCCCGAGCTGTTCTCAGCAGCACTGGAAACAAAAAGGAGCCTTTCTAGGACATTGTATACGAAACAGGCTTCCGCAGGCAGGATGACCTTTCTTTCCGCATTACACGCCAAACTATCTTCCCAGCTAATCAGAGAATTCTTGAGAGAAAAGAGGAATTTGGGGAATTTGCTAGCTGCGGTGGCCTGGATCCCCGCACTGTGGTCCTCATATGCAAAACCAATCACTTCCCCAAGCCTCCAGGGAGCTGCACTTTGTTAGAAGGCTCTGCTCCTTCCCCTCTTTCCTTTATGGGAGTCTAATCGTCTTGCGAGGAGAGCGAGAGGATGGGGCAGGGACAGGTAACTTTGTGTTCGCATCCGGACCATGGAGGTGACCCAGGGGCTTCAGAACCACACATGCATTTCAGCTGCCATAGCGAGTGGCACTGCTGTGGAAGAAATTCGGGTAGCTACAACTCCCCACATCCCTTCCAATCATTTGGACATCTTTTTCCTGAAGGCTTCCCTTTCCTGAACTGCGTTGTGTGTAAGCTGCCATGGAGGTGTTTTGCGTTTTTCCAACCTTTTCCTCAGTTTCTTCTCTGCAAACCGTAAGGCAGACCTCTGAGCGGGCAAGGCTGCCTCGGCATGGGTGGGTGGCTGCAAGCTCCTTTGCTGTCCCCTGGTAACTCTTTCTGCAGAGGGTCTTTATTTATTAGCAAGAGGATATTTATTCCCAAAACCGAGCTTGGGAAGCAGTTGGAATTTCATACATCGTACTATCAATAGTGTTTGAATTTGGATTACTTCAAGAGATGACTTTTTGTATTGTTTTCCTTTTTCTCCCACCTCTCTTTTTTTACACCTCGTGACCAAGGTCGGCTTTGAATACTTGATGTTAAGCACACTGCCACTATTTTCCAGATGCTGAAGCTTTGAATATGTTACTGTGGTTTCTATGCTACTTGCACAGAATTTTATATCCCAGTTTTTCTTTGTTTCACTAAACAGTAACCGTTGGCAAGGAAACACATATGGAGCTGTAAATTATTTATTAGGAGTAAATTTATCAGGTCCTCATTCTGAGAGTATTTATATATGGTTTATTCAGGCAGAAAAAGAGAAATATGCAGTTTGGGTTTTGGTATTGACTGATGGCTTCAAATACTCTGTGGAAGGCGTTTTCTAGAAATGGAGTGATAGTCTTATCTGTACTTTCCCAGTATTTATATTTCATTCAGTGGATTACAAAGCTGTTAAAAAATTGGCAGTTTGATTTTAAGAACAAGAAAATGAAAGGAATCCCTTTGTTCTTGGGTGCAATGTGCAATTAAACACATGTTTCTGAAGAAGCCAGTGATCTATACATTATGATTTACCAAACATGTCATAGTAATGCAAAGAAAAAATAAGATGTTGTAAAAATAGATCCATGTATAGCAACTTAAGCAGTACTTTTAGAACGGGAAAAAAAGAGGACAAGTAATCCATTAGAAATTATTATCCGACCTAAAGGGGCCCCAAGCCATTTTACATGATACCACACTAACTTGGAAACCATTCTTAAATTTTAGCTAATTAAATGAAGGTCATGAAGCAGTGTATGGAGACATAATCAGCTTTTTTTTTAAGAGATATGATAGTGAGTAAAAGTCTCTGGAAATGGAGTCATGTGTTGGAGTACAGCAACTAGGAAACACTAGTGTCTGAAAGCTGACAAAAAATGACATGTTTTGAAGAATTCTGCAGGCCCACAGGCCAGAGGTGGAAGGTGATGAGGGGAAGAAAATTATCTGATCTGTGGTATATAATTAAGTTTTCCAGGGACTTGGTGTATATGCGGTAATATTTCCTTCAAACTATTACTTAAAACCCCTAAATGCAGCAAACACAACGGAATAAAATGAATTTTAAACACTTGTGAGACTGAACATGCATGCAAATCTGTGGGGTACAAGGAGTTCATCCAGTCAATTAATCAACCAGTACCTTGCCTTGCTCCCCAGATATGCACCCAACTGTCTAGCAGAAACCCCGAGTGTGAATGCTTCTCCTGCGAGCTAGCCTGTCTGCGGGGGTCAACAGTGGGGCACAAACCTAGAGCTTAATCCTTGCCAAGGCACTGCAGCCCCCCAGGGTGGAAAAAAGTTACGTGCTTTCTTACCGTCTTCATGGTGCCATATTGTTTAAAGAAATAACGCAGTGGTGGAATTAGGGTTTCTGCAGCATGTACAAACCTCTCTTTACTCACCTTCATGTGCTAACAGCACAGTTCACCTTAAAATGGACTCTATTCTCCTCTCAGCTGCCCACAATTGCTGCCTTTCCCCCTCCAGCTCTGGGTACCCCAGAGCTGCTCCCTCCGCTTGCCCCCCGGTTCCCGGAGTGGGTACAGCTGCTCCCCCGCTGCAGGGCAGAGGGGCAGAGCAGCCTCTCGCTGGCATTTTTGTCCCATCGAGAGAGTATCATCATTATCATAATCCTAAAGCAGCTGGAGGTGGGCAAGGTCAGAAAGGCAGGAAGGCTAAGGCAGCCCGAAAGCGCCGAAAGAGCTGCCCTGAGTTGGTGAGTTAGAAAGCTCTTTCTGGGAGAAGATTCGCACTGGCTTTAGGCATCTGCTTTTGGTGGTCTTCAAAAAAAAGCCTTCTGGTGATGTCACCTTTTCTTCATTAGTTTTAAAAGGACTGAGGTTGCTAGTTGTTTGTTCGTTGTAAGTGTGAATTTACTAGAAGAAATAACAGCGGGGCGAGGATGTAGCTGCCTCCATTTGCCCATAGCTCCTGCAGTTTGCCCTGATGAGGACCACGTGTCCCCGGTGCAGCACCGCAGCTCTCCCCTAGTGCCTAAATCCCCAAAACTACATGCAGGGAGGTAAACTGCTGCCCAGTGCAGCAGCCAGGAAATTAGTGCCTCTTGCTGGTCTACCACCTACCATGTCCCTGCCCCATGCCACAACCTCCCCCCAGGGACACATCTGTCATGCAGCCTGGCGCGATGGAGGGGTCCCTCCTTGTTCGCAGTAGCCTATGGCGGCTCCTGGGCTGGGAGTTGCACCTAAAAGAGATGTCTAGCGGAGGTTGACGTAAACTGTATGATCAACCCCTAAGTGATAGAAGGAGAGAAAAATGCAAGTATAATAGTAACATAATCCTGCTAACTGCACTTTCTCTTGGGCTGGTAAGGGGACACCAGTCAAACTAACCACTAAAAACCCATGAGGGTTTCATATATACAGAGTAAGTATATGTAATTGGGATTTACCTTGCTGGAAGTCTCACCCACTGCACATACATTTCATTTGCTTTAAGAGACCTAATTACTTCTCTATCTACAGTACAAAGAGACAGATTTTTAAGTGGGGTAAAACTGACAACTTCCATGAGTGTGAACTTCATGGAATTTATGGTCCACACTTAAACAATAAATTACATCTGGTCTATCATAGCTAATAGTAAATATGAAACATACATCTCCTGAAGCGCAGGGAATAAAAGTCCATTTCCCTGCTCCTCCCAATTTAGGAAGTTTTTTTGACTTGATGCCTTAGTTCCATTTAAGTGCCAAGAACATGAAGTAATGTTGGCTTCTATTAATCTTGTTTTGGGGGGCATGACAGTTTTAATGGGAAAAGCTGATAAACATCAGTCTGTGAGTATGGGAGTGAACTGTAACATAAATACTCTTTTCCTGAATGGTCAAAATGAAAACATGAATGCCCAAGTCTGAGAGTTTCTTAGTGTGAACAATGGTATGTGTATGCTTATATATATTCATGCACATCCACATGCATTTTATACATTCCATGGTGTTAAGGGAATGTATTTTCTTAAGGAATCACACTGTGCAGTGTTTGTCCTTGTCTTAGCTGCATCCTGAACTAAAATAAAACTCAAATGACCAGCACCAAGTTTTAACACTGAAATGATCCCATTCTTCCTCTGATTGACAGGGCACACTTCATAAGGCTTAAAACCAACTTCCTGCAAGCCAGGCAGGGTGACTTGATAAGAAAGTGGAATTTAGGGCAATTAAGTGCAATCTGAGCCATGAGAATATGTTTGCAGACTGCAATTGTACACCAGCTGTTTTCAATGACATTCCAGCCATACAATGAAGATTTTACAACCACATTTATTTAAGGGTTGAATTTTCTGCTGTGGGTTGATAATACGCTGTTTGGGGGACTGAGTGGATTCAAACTATGAATGAACATGGTTAGATGAATTAACATTAATGAACAGGAATCAGCTCCTCTTTGAGCAGAATGTTATGAGTCCAAATTGTCAGTGGAACACCTACACAATCAGAACATCAGAATAGGAGAGGGTGAAACGTGAAATCTCACGTTTGCTCTGTGACTTAAAAAATTTTGTGAAAATCATATTTGAAAAAATAAGTTTATACTTTTAACATAAAAGTAGCTCTATATCTATATCTGTTTATAAGGTGTGTGTATATATATTTCTATTTGGGGGTAAAGAAAGAAAATTGGGAACTTCTGTCCATACTTTACCAACTTTGTTCATTTTGGTCTCAACTGGGACATTTTTAGGTGTAGCTGTAGGAGTTTAGACAGTAGAGACAAAGACTTTATGTCTCCCAAGAGCTCACTAGGCGTTGCAATTAAACAGGTATTAGAGGCACTGATGAGACACATTTTAGAAAGCCGGGAGTGAATGATGCTGATAAATCCTTTTCTTTGTGAAAACAGTTTGTGTTTTCTTGAATTTTCTCTTGAAAATTCTTGTGATTTACTTTCTTTCTGGTAGAAAAGACCCAAATAAGGTGACAAAACCACAGAGAAAACTACTGTCGCTTATAGCTATAATACCTTTTTTATGCCTGTGCTTTATATCTTTTATGTATGCTTTATGTTGATAGTGGGCAGTAATAAAAGTGCCTCTGGGAAACAAGCATTTGCGTTTTAAACAAGATAAAAACCGAGATGTGTTGCCTTGTGCTAGAGAAACAAAGGAAATGCAAAGGTTGTGGGAGTATTTAGTGTTGCTGTCCTCAGCCTTTGTTTTGTAGGAACAAGAACAGAGAAGTGAAGTAAACAAAACATTTGGACCTGATCCTGCAATTCCTACATGGGCAAAATTCCTAACAGTCTCAAGGGAAGTTTTGTTTGTGTTGGGAAAGCCGGATTTGGGCCCATTGTTTGCAGTTAGGAACCAGATTTGTGTTTATTATCTCATGACAGACATCTTATGTGCTTAACAACTCAGATTCCTCAGCTGGATTCCCTGAATCTGGAAGAGTTAGCGAGTGCCTCACTTTCCTTCTCCTTCAAGTGTATTTAAGTTCCAGATGATTTAAAAAAATCACTTTCTTCTGTAATCTTATGCTTAGTTTCCTGTAACACTCCTGCCTCACTCCTCCTGTTGGATTTAAAGGTCTTGGCTTTTGGTTTGCATGTGCAAGATAAGAATGATAGTACTTTCTGATTGCTTTCCCTTGGTACTAATGATTGTACAAGATGAAGAGCAGTCAGTGGACAGCAGGCCCAGTGCCTTCCAGTATGAGATTGTCTCTGCAAGCATAAGCAATTAATCCAGGATAAAATTACTGATTGATGGTTGTGCAGTCAGTCAGTGACCTGTCTGTGAATGGAACCAAAGCATCCTTGTTCCTAATCTAGAGGATTTTACCTGAGTACCCTTCTCTGGAGGGTCTTTAGAGAGAAAAGTCAAAAAATCATAGAAAAATGGGTTGGCAAGGGGACTGGAGAGATTACCCACATTGAGATCCCTGCCCTACAGCATGGTCAAATATAGCTAAGTCCTTCCTGATAAAGGGTTTTCTGTTTCTTTAAAATATTGTTAATACTACAGATGTCTTGTGCAATTCTATTTGCAGATTGCTGATTTTGGACTCTCCAACCTTTATCACAAAGACAAGTTTCTGCAGACCTTTTGCGGAAGCCCACTGTATGCTTCCCCTGAAATAGTTAATGGAAGACCTTACAGAGGCCCAGAGGTAAGAAGGGTCAGCTTTTTGGTAGTGGTATGGGGATGTCTTTGATGATAATGTTCTTGAGGGTTAGTCTTAATGCTAGTGTTTTTGCACATGTGGGTTCATTTGGGTCTCTCCCATATTTAAAGTTCTCAAGCTGCCTTGGTTTGCTTTCGTTTGCTTTGCCTGTGATGAGTCAGATGTTAGATACTGGTTTGCCCATCAATAGGCGCAGCTGGAGGTAATGCTGCTCTTGGGATGCTAATGGAAAGGAGAAGGGTGGGGATCAGCTTTCCTGGGCTTCACACACATTGTCTTTGTATTTCAGGTTGACAGCTGGGCCCTTGGTGTATTGCTTTACACTCTGGTTTATGGAACGATGCCCTTTGATGGCTTCGATCACAAAAATCTCATCAGGCAGATCAGCAGTGGAGAATATCGTGAGCCAACACAGACCTCAGGTACAAAAAAGGAGTGAGGGCAATGTATTGAGCTGACAGGAGTTGAGAATGGACGGTTTGCACGGCCCTTTCCAACATGTTTTGGTGTCATATTAGAATGGTGAAGAAAAAAAATCTCTCATTCCTCTACTGACTTCATCTGCTATCAGTTCCCATCTGAGTATGGCATTTACCAAAAGCCCTTTTGAAATTAAAGTTTTATAGCAGATAGGTTTTATTGCCTTGGGGAAACTGTAATGGGCTCTTTTAACTAGGTCTATGACAGTTGAAAGTCTGTTAGCTATTGCAAGTGGAATTGTTCAGACAAGCTGTAAACTGATACAACATACTGGTACAGATCAGTCCTCTAACTACACTGTGGTGTATCACAAGCAGAGAGAAAATGAATGGTCAGAGCTATGCAGTCGCTTATCCAAGAAGGCAGGCCAAAATGCCACTATGTTCTCATTTACTTCTACTTAGAGGATAACACATTAAGCAGTCACCTGACAGAAAAACATCAGCTAAGTCTGGGTTATTGATTATAATGCCTCCTTCCAGCCTTAAACATCTATGTATATATTATATTTAAATTAATATTTATCTTGTATCATTTGTATACCATCCGTTTCAGTTTTCTGTCTTCTTGCTTTCTTTGTGGAAATCTACTTTAAAAATATACAGAAGACTACAGTGTTTATGGAAAAAGAAATACAAAAGCAATAATGTGTAGATCATTTAAAATATCCCAATTCCTCTTTGTTTTCCTCTAAGTTTGGTAATTATTAGAGTTGATAGGTTGGTGATTTCCTTCAGTAATATGGAACTATTCACTGACTAATAAAGTACAAATATTAATTTCTTTGATAATCCAGTGTACATTTCCTAGGGTGAATCATATTCTTCTTATAAGAAGTAGTACTCAAATGCATTTTCCAACAGTGACTGATGACCAAAGCTTTGCGCTCTTTCACTTCTCCTGTTGCAAGAAGCATTATTTTTGCTCATTTGATTGCCTTCACACTTCCATTTTAAATGGACAAAACTAAGAATTCCCATATTCTAAATATTTTATATTCTGTTCTTTGTCCACAGATGCTCGTGGTCTTATCAGATGGATGCTGATGGTGAACCCTGAACGCCGAGCAACTATCGAAGACATTGCCAACCACTGGTGGGTTAACTGGGGCTACAAGAGTAGTGTTTGTGACTGTGATGCCATGAGGGACTCCGAGTCCCCATTGCTGGCAAGATTCATTGATTGGCATCACCGTGCTACTGGCCTCCAACCAGAGACTGATACCAAAACAAAGTGCCTTTCTAAGCCCAAAGGTCCTGAAGTCACACTAGAGAGACAAAGGTCTCTAAAAAAATCAAAAAAGGAAAATGACATTGCACAGTCCATCCAGGAAGGGGGAGCTGAAAATGCATCCAAACCCACCTCCAAGAGACCCAAAGGCATCCTGAAGAAAAGGAGCAACAGTGAACATCGATCTCACAGTGCAGGTTTCATTGAAGGAGTGGTCAGCCCAGTGTTACCCTCTGCTTTTAAGCTGGAGCAAGAGTTGTGTAGGACTGGCGTAGCCATTAAAAGTGTTGTGGAGGGAGAGGTAGCGGGCAAATACGGCACTAAGCAGTCTTCACTAATGCCAAAAAAAGGAATCTTAAAGAAAACTCAGCAGAGGGAGTCTGGCTACTACTCCTCTCCAGAACGAAGTGAATCTTCTGAACTCTTGGACAATAATAATGAGACAGTAAACAGTGACACTTCTCCAGGGGTCACAGAGCCATCCAGAAATGGGTCTTACAGCCACTCCTGTAGGCGTAAGGGCATCTTGAAACATAACAGCAAGTATTCTACCAGCAGCACTGAATCTGCTTTGATTAGCCCTGACACACCAACTCTGGAGGCCATGGAAGAAGTGGTCCTGCCTGGGGATGCATTACCTCGAAGTTACAGTCGCCCTTCCAGCGTGATTAGTGATGACAGTATTTTGTCCAGTGACTCCTTTGATTTGCTGGATTTGCAAGAGAACAGGCCAAACAGACAGAGGATACGGAGCTGTGTCTCTGCTGAAAATTTCCTCCAGATCCAAGACTTCGAAGGACTTCAGAACCGCCCACGGCCACAGTATCTAAAGCGTTATCGCAACCGTCTGGGGGACAGCAGTTTTTCCCTTCTCACAGACATGGATGATGTGACTCAGGTCTACAAGAAAGCCCTAGAGATCTGCAACAAACTCAACTAGCAGAGGGAAGATGGAAAGGGAGGGAAGGGAGTTTTTCTGTGTACCTTTATGGTGGAGTAAGCCAGGTCACTAATTTGCTGACAATAGTAGGTTTTGCTTCAAAGGAGCTAACTGTACCTACTTGGCTGAACTCCAAGTAAAGTAGCCCCAAAGCCATCTCACACTTCTCTAATTTTGTGTCCTCAAAATATTACCTACCTGACCAGAGAAAAACCTTTGGTCTTTGTATACATGATGAAAGCACATCAGGATCTAGCAGACAAAAGCGTCAAGATTTGATGGCGTGAAGTCAAAACTAGACAGAATTAAAACTGGAAGTGAGGGACACACATGTTGAGAGGTTTGTAATTAATATTATATTAGCTTTATCAAGAGATGAGCTGAATTCTTCAAGTCACATTTGGATGTCTTTTAGAAAAGAGAGCCTTTATTTCCCCCTGAAGTTATTCATCTGGATACAGTCATTGCACATTGTGAATCTTTGGCTTGCATTATGCAGGAGGCCAGGGTAGGTGGTCACCATGGTCCCTTCCAGCAGGGTGACCTGAGAGGTTCTGAACGCATTCTGGGACAAATAATGTGAGAGACTCACCCAGAATAACCTCACCAGGTGTATGTGGACAAGCAGTGGAGCAGATATTCAGATCTGGCCCCTCCCACAGCCATTGCTCTTCAGTGAGCAGGAGGCCCTATAATTTTTTCCAACGACTGCTCCTACCAGTAAAAGCAGTCACAGAAGCGGTAATGGAGACTGGAAGGAATGGATGTTATCAGCAGCTAAACGACCTTTTAAGTCATTTCAACCTGTGTGTTCAATTTGTGAGTCTTTCAAAATGGCCAGCCAGATGAATGCCCAAAGACGGATCTAACAAAGGGTCTCAAGGGTTAAATGACCCTCCAATGTAGAGTTCAGTCGCTGTCAGCAAATGGTGCCACCTCGCTGTTAGCTTGTAATATTTGAGGGTGACAGATAGCTTATGGCCAGAATGTTAGGTAAGGAAAAGGTTGTAGCATGTAGGAAATGGATAGAGATCAGAAAGTTAGTGGGAAGATGCCTTTTTCCAAATGAAAATGTTTGTAAGTAGGTAGTAATGGAGCAGAAAGAATTGAGCGATGAAATGACAATGGTAAATTTGATAACAGAGTTAGCACAAAAATGCAGGCCTCTATATGGTGTAGCTGGTACTGCGTGTGCAATGATACCAGTTTGAAAAAAAAAGAGAAGGATATGTGTTTGTGTTCTCAGACATACCTAAATATCCAGACTGAAGGCTTCAACTCCCATAAAGGTACCACATGGGTCTACTGGATTACCTGAATGTAAGCCTATGTCAGAAAGGCACTGTGTGTTTGACAGGCCTGGGCAAACTGGAATCTTAAGGCCCATTTCAGTCTCATTTCTGTGAGCACATAGCCCCTGGCTTTCTTGGAGGTGCACTGGTGCGAGTAAGTGGTAGGTTTCGGCCTATGATGTCAAATGATCCACAATGTCTACACGCATACCCAGAGCAGAGGAGCATGGGGCAAGCTCTGTTCTCACTCCCACCCTGTAACTGGAACTGAAAGCAGAATTTGGCCCACTGTGTCCAAAATCCTAGAGATCATGCAGAAATGGAGTAGAGTTCCTCTGGGGATTCCCTGGGAATTGGGGATAACCCCATAAATTGCTGGCGTCTGGGGCAGGGAGCTATTTCGCTTGCAGATTCCTTATTCAGTGTATCATGGTACTTAAGTCTGCCGGTTCCTCCTAAAAATCGACCGGGCTGCCTAGCGTAAAGATGAATGAGCTTGAATTTCCTAAAGCTGTTAATCGGACTCTGTGGAGAACCTTTTCTTATTGTGAAACACTGGACCAAATTTGGCCCTGGAGTCAACGGCACCAATACCATGAAATCTGCGAGAGATGTGTGCTCTCAGGTGGTCAAGTGAAATTTGGCTCACTGTCCATTTGCTCAGGAAGGACAATTGCAGGTCATTTCTCTACAGATGCATACCTCTCTACATGATATGCAGACATCTCGTCTTCTCACAGGCCCTGCATGCGCTCTTTTAGCCCATCTGAAATCAACACCCCATTTTGCAGTGTATTGAGTTAAAAAGTTTGCTGTGGTGCGTTTTAAAACAACTCGACGTAGTCTCCGTGGCCTTCCTGAAACGAGGATGCGCTCTGCAGCCATGGCTTTTAACTTGTCGCCCGGAGCATCAGAGCCAGATCCTCAGCTGGTGTAAATCAGCGCTGTCCCATTGACATGGTGGAGCATCACCTTGGTGGGGTTACGCTGATTGACACCTTCCCTGCAGATCTGGCACTAAGCCTTAAATGGTTTTATAGAGGTTTCAGGACGAAGGGGAGGGAACTTCAGCCGGCCATGGCAGGGGAGTGAGGAGCACCCCAAAGGCTCGTGTCTCCCGAGGCTTTTGCCCAGGCCTGCTTCCTTGTGTACAAATGTGAATGAGTGAGTGACTGCTTGCTGCCAAACTGGAAATGTTATGTAGGGATTTACTGGCATGTTACTGGCATGTTACATGTTTACTGGCATGTTATCATTCCTAGAAGAGAAGAAAAAACAAACTTGACTGCACATTGTTATTATTAGTGTTGTGATTTTTATTTAATTTTTTTGTAATACAAAGTTGACTTTTTTATTTGAATTTGTCTTTTTTTTTATTTATTGGTCTGAAAGCCATTTCAAAGGTATAATAATATATTTGGTGTAATTTAATTGGTGCAACATTATTTTACAGCTCCGGCCAAAATTGTTTGGTGTTATTTTTTGGTTTTTTGTTTTTTCTCCCAATCCTTGGTTGGTTTGAGCTCTACAAGGCACACAGAGGAAAACGCTGGATAATCACCCAAAGTGTTTGTATTTTTAATCTGATACTGTTTTTTATTAAATAAAATGAAATTAATGTAACTGTGAAGAGTCTCTCTCTCTCCCTTTTCTTTTTCAGTGTACATCAGCATAAGCCAAGACCAAACAGTAATGAACTTGTGCAGAAATACAGCAGCACCTCAGCACATCGTACCAAGTTGTTTATGCAAAGCTCCTTGGCTCATTTGTGCATTTGAATGTAATGTGGGTGGCCTCAGAGACTGCTGTGCTATGAAGCATTTGGCACTGCATAACACCCAGAGCTTTCAGCTATAGAAATGTTTGGTGCAGAAGAAAAGCTGACTGGGATTTCTCTGCTGGAGATGAATGAGGTTTGTGGGCCAGGTGTGCTGCAGGTGAGAAGAGCAGGCTGGCTCACCAGATGTGGCACAACTCATGTGTAGCCCAGAGACAGATGGTCACGGTCCTTTCCCCTCTCTGGTGGAGAGAGGGACAGGTTATTAACAGTGTTCGTCTTCAACTAGATCAGGGGCTCTGAGCAACCTGATCTAGTTGAAGATGTCCTTGGTCATTGCAGGGGGGTTGGGCTAGATGACCTTTAAAGGTCCCTTCCAACCCAAACCGTTCTATCACTCTATGATTCTATGTATGTTAATGTTCCTGTTGGTATAATTTAGGGGTTATTTGGGCAAAAAAGACTGGTGGCCATCTGTTGGTGTCAAAGGTGGGATGATTTCAGTCAGATGGCTTTGAGCAGCCAGCATAATCAGCTGGTGAGAGAGAAAAAGGGAGTCAGCTTTCATTTTTTTGGAGTCCCCTTGATAACCAGAAGGCTTTAGATTGTTCTTCTTGGAAAACAGGTGAGCATCATAAGGGACACTGGGTGTTAGGTATGCTGTGTGTGCTGGGGACTTGTTAAAATAAAGGAAATGGTTGGCAACATCCTAACGTTGGCTCTGAGCAAGACACCGTTAAACTTCACCCTCGATGCAGCCAGCCAAGATACCTGTGGTGTATATTCTGCTTTTTAAATTATAGGCGGTTTGGATTCGGATCCAAGTTTTGGATGTCATGCAAAAAAGGCTTTCATTTTTCTAATTCATTTTCTCTTACTTGAGCTTTTTAAAGCAAGAAGCCATGGCTGTAGGGTGCTATATTTATTCATCATCACCACTTAAAAAACAGTGGGAGTAAAGGGAAAAAGCCAACAATGCAGAAAGGCAAACAGCCGTTAATATATTACAAAGGGAATGATTAGCTACTGTGTGCTAGTTGAGTCAGAAATTGTAAGGTATATATTCAAAGTCAGCACACGTGTTCTAGTACCTGAGGTGAATAAGGTCTAACTGTGTGGGTGCTGGGTGGTGGAAAATGTAATGCAAGCCTCTTCTGCAATAGCAGTTATGAAACTTACTTTTTTTTTTAACACACTAAGAAAAAAGTGAAGTTGAGGGCAACCCATTTGTTTTGTTTTAAAAATAATGATTTTTAGAAAGAAAGTTCTGGATGGCTGGCTAATGGCATGTGTGTGTGGCAAGCATGGAGACATAATTACGTACGTGTTTGTACAGCTCTGAGAGTGCACACGTCTGGGGTGGGGAGGTGGGCGTCTAATTTTCCCATTTATTAAAGGAGATAAGTGTACAGTGATATGCCTTAGCTGAAGTTACATAGTCTGTAGCCAGACCTGGTCTTCTTTCATGCTTACTCCATGGGGATTCCAGTGTTTCTCAGGAACTGTTGAAGTTTTATGGATCGGGCAAGGTAGGAGCAAGGAAACGAAGACAGGAGCCCTGGGAACTACACAGTCAAGTGACAAAAGCAGCAGTGGTGGATTTTTTTATGTTGCCTCAATAGTCTCGTCCATTGTAACCCTTCCTTTAACTCTAAAAGCCAACAACCTCACTTTCTGATCCTGCAATGCCTGCGCACGTGCCTAACGTGACAACGTCAGGGATCCCTCTCACTTCTGTGGCAGGCTTGCTGAAGCCCAGGGGCCGGCCCATGCGAGCGGTGCTGCCCGATGCTGAGCGATGCTCCCATGTATCAGTAGAAACTTGCAGGAGGGCCTGACGCTGCTCCTCAAAGCTCACCAGCCCCAAGTCACCGGTGCAGAGGGAGAGGAGTTGTGCCGACACGGCGGGAGGCAGCTCTCTTCCGGTGCTG